TCTAACCGAGATAAGAGTGATGTATCAAAAGCCTACAAAGCCTACAAAGAAGAACAAAAATGATATTTCATCAGCTGAAATATCAGGTACTTGTGGCGTTAATAGGCACACAGTTGATGCATTTTAATGCTGCGCTGTGCCACAACTGACCACTGGGTAGCCAAGGACATGTCATTCACTGGGAAGCCGAGGACGTGTCATTCACTGCGAAGCCGAGGACGTATCATTCACTGCGAAGCCGAGGACGTGGCATTCACTGCGAAGCCGAGGACGTGTCATTCACTGCGAAGCCGAGGACGTGGCATTCACTGCGAAACCGGGGACGTGTCATTTACTGCGAAGCCGAGGACGTGTCATTCACTGCGAAGCCGAGGACGTGGCATTCACTGCGAAGCCGGGGACGTGGCATTCACTGCGAAGCCGGGGACGTGGCATTCACTGCGAAGCCGAGGACGTGGCATTCACTGCGAAGCCGAGGACGTGGCATTCACTGCGAAGCCGAGGACGTATCATTCACTGCGAAGCCGAGGACGTGGCATTCACTGCGAAACCGAGGACGTNTCATTCACTGCGAAGCCGAGGACGTGGCATTCACTGCGAAACCGAGGACGTGTCATTCACTGCGAAGCCGAGGACGTCTCATTCACTGCGAAGCCGAGGACGTGGCATTCACTGCGAAGCCGAGGACGTCTCATTCACTGCGAAGCCGAGGACGTGTCATTCAGGTCTCATTTACAGTTGTGCAGCCTGTGAGCAGGATTTGTGTGGAGGTCAGGTTGCATGGTGCAAGTCATGACAGCTGCCTTCAGCCTGTGGAAGCAGGTGCCAGTATGGAAAAATCAGGAATAAAGAAAGCTTTGTGGACGGCCACGCTGAGCTCGTCAGCAGGCACAGCTTTGGCGTACACCTGAGATCATCACGTTCTCCTGAAGGTCCACGGGAAGAGAGGCTGAGCCCCCTAGTCTGTGCACGGTGCTGCTGAGGGCCTGAGTGACATTCTACAGGGTCCAGGCCAGCTCTAGGATGACCTTTGACTGTGCGCACATTTACTCCCGACTCATTCACATGCAATGAATGGCAATGAGATGAAACTAGTCCCTCCTGCATGAATTGTGAAAGGCGGATGGTGCTGAACACTGCTGCACATGCTGAACACCACTGCACACTCACGGTCGAACCCTGCCCATCGCTGTCAGCTTGTCACAGGTCTCTTGTTACTCCACGCTTTTGTCCAGGAGGCTAGAGAAAGGTGGAATGTTATATAAACAAGTGATCTTTTACCCTGTTCGATGCTAAGGTAACTCAAGGTGATAAGATACGCACGGCAGCACCATGACCCAGAGGATTGTGGGAGATGACTTCCGAGCACATATATAAACCACTGACCTCAACCTTTTCCCCCCCAAAAAAACCCACAATGACTGGATAACAGTAATGACAACAGATGGAACGCAAACCCAGAACCCCATACCCCAGATTTGTGTCCTCACCAGTGTTACTAAGAGTAAAAAGCACCTGGTTTGGTAGAAATTACTTGCAAAATCCTCTAAACTAAACTGGTATCAAGCATAAAAAGAAGTTGTAGCCACTTGCATTAATGAAATTCATAATTCAGCCTAATCAATCCTCACAGTAATTACACAGCTATTTTAACAGCATGAATTAAGGGTTACACTTCCTCCTGGGAGGGCGGGCCATCTTTTTCTGAGTAGCGAAGACCTGCCAATCATACTGTGTAGCCTAAGTGAGCAAATCAGTGAGGCTTTTTAAGGAAGCCTTTCAGCCGACGTGAGCTTCCCCCAGAGCCCATCTGCCAGCAGCAGCTCCATTCTCCTCTTTCAGACACTCCTTTTACTCACTTATTAAAAACATAACTGATGGGAGTGACTGCTGCATTGAAAACACAAGACACACCTAATATGGTCACCATGACTTGTAAATGTTTTTAAACATATATATTCTGATATGCAGAATGCATATTCAGCCGTGGAAAAAATTAAGTATTAAATAATGTTACTTATTAATGAAGGGCTTCTTCCTTGCTTTCAGCCCTGCTTCTAGGAGCCTGATACAAACTGTTCCAGCAGAGCACTTCACAGCTGCACTTAATGCTTCCCATTCCTTTTGAAGGTCACTTGATGTCACCCTATGATTCATGAGAAACTGTCAGATAAGTTAACGGTCATCTCTGGCATTAGAAAGTCACTTCCGCCCTTCTTCCATCAAAACCACGATTAAACCAGGATTTAATAATACAGATTTGTTTAAAAATATAGAGTAGTCTCAATGTTTTTTCACAGTTGTATGTGCTTTTGTCAAATATAGCCAAAAGTTAAACTGTTTTTATGTTAAAATAAGATACATTTAAACACCTGTTGCAAGGCTAATGACTTGACATGGTTTTCAATGGATAGCACTTAAACAATAATGAACAAATCCAAAAGTGTAATCCTTATAATGTGCTAAGGCTTCAAAACACAAAACGCAGAGAACACAAAATATAGCTTCTGAGTGTGTTTGTTGTTGTTGTTGTTGTTGTTGTACACCCTGTGGCCTGTACTACGAAGCGGGGTTACTGGCTTATCGGGGTAACTTGTTGGATTTAAGGTAGTCTGGGCAAAATGTAAGTGAGCGAATATGAAGTCCATTTAAGCTGTGGTACCTTAAATCCGACAAGTTACCCCGATAAGCCAGTAACCCCGCTTCGTAGTACTGGCCACAGGATCTTTCTGCTCTGTGTTAAATGTGTTGCATGGACTGGTTGGCCTTGGTATCTCAGGGTTTTTTTCTACCACTTATAACTAGAACAGCTACTTAATTTCACTGCTAACCAATCTGAAGCTTGGCTGCTTTCCTACATGTAGCTGATTAGGTAACATTTTAAAAGCAACTTAAAAATAACTTCAAGATGGAAGAAGAGGCTAAATGCCACACAGATTTTACAGAGAAAATCCTCGCAGGTTTTAAACGGGAAGATTTCAGCTTGTAAGTCGACGTCCTTAACCAAAATACTCCGTCCTGCCCCTTATACTGTATATTAGGACGACCAGATAATCCATGTCAGGGAGGACACTCTGAGCTAGGACAGGAATTGTAAACTACCATTTCAATTAAACGGGCCTGGATTTCACTTGAGCACTGAGTTCTTGCTGTGTGCTGATTGGTCAGTCTCCTATAATCATGCATATGTCACTAATACTAATGTGAAACAGCTGGATGAGTCTTTCAGTCAAGGAAACAAACTAGTCAAAGCACAAGAAAAGCTGAACTATTTCGGCAAGCACAGGAGCCTTTCAATTTGAAAGTAGTTTGTAAAACCCGAAGTAGCTGAAAGTGTCCTCCCTGACATGGATTATCTGGTCACCCTACTGTATATAAACTACAGCGACCCGCATTGGCTCTGATCTCCAGCAGGGGGCGCACCGCACCTCCATAGCAGCGTTTCCTGCTCCTGTTACTAGGTGAATACAGCCAGTCAAAAACAATCACTAAGTATTCCCAATAATAAATACAGAAGTCTAGATATTTTTTTAAATGACCACAATAAACAAAAGTACCCATTCATTAAAAATCTCATAGTGGCACTATAAAGATAAATGCATTTTACTTTTTGACCATTGCAATGCTGTGCAAAGGTGAGGGTTAAAAGGGGAAGACTATGTTACACCCCAAAATGCTGTTGACCACAAACATGTGCTCACCACACATATAAGGAGAACCTGTTTTGTGCATGATGTGGGTGAAATAGGCTACCAGGAAAGTATGACTGTTCACTGGATTCATCCTAAAGCAAAAGCATAAGAAGATGCCTGTTTGTCTGTGGTATGGGGTGACCAGATAATCCATGTCAGGGAGGACACTTTGAGCTAGGACCGGATTTGTAAACTACTATTTAAATTAAAAGGGCCTGGATTTCACTTTAGCACGGAGTTCTTGCTGTGTGCTGATTGGTCAGTCTCCTATAATAACGTGAAACAGTGGCATGAGTTTTTCAATCGAGGAAACAAACCAGTTAAAGAACTGGTCTATTTAGCCAAGCACAGGAGCCTTTCAGTTTTAGTTTGTAAAACCTGAAGTAGCTCAAAGTGTCCACCCTGATATGGATTATCTGCTCACCCTGCTGTAGTATTAATTTTGTCACTTACCAGGAAAAGCAAGTAAATTATTATACATACTCATATACAGCGACTGGCAGTTTTCTGACAGTTTCCTGGCAGTCTTCAGTGGAATCGTGTGCTTATTTTTGATAAAAAGTGTGGACTTCAAGATGCGGGGGGCCAGCTACTGATAACTTCGTGTCAAATGCTGTAAGGACATGTTTTGCTTCTACAAGTGTGATCTATTTCACAAATGACAAGTTGCTACATTATTTTACATTCGCAAAACCACTGGAAGCTAGTAAAATGCTTGCCTAATATTAATGAGCATATCTTGGACAGTGACAGCATGACAGTGAACTGACCTCGTTTGTAAACAACGCAAGGAGTCCACGACCTCGCCAATCGGTTAGGTTATCACTGTGCCACAGGAATTCCCCAAAACCCTCTGTTCATAATCACCATAAATCCACGACGTACAATTCTATGGAACATGTCATGTATATAATTCAAAGAAACCGGTGATAGTTGTTTAGACATATATCGTGCAGTTTTACATAAGTAAATTTTTTTTACATAAAGTTTTACATAAGTTTTACATAAGTACCTGGGTGTTCACCTCAACAACAAACTGTACTGGTGTACAAATACTGAGGCAGTTTACAAAAAGGGTCTAAGTCGTCTTCGCCTGCTAAGGCGGCTAAGATCCTTTGGGGTGAACAGGACACTTTTAAGGACCTTTTATGACACTGTGGTAGCATCTGCTATCTTTTATGCTGTGGTCTGCTGGTGTGGTGGAATTTCAGAGAGGGACAGGGGGAAACTTAACAAACTGGTGAAGTGGGCCAGCTCTGTCCTGGACTGTCCGCTGAAATCCACCGAGCAGGTTGGGGAAGAGAGGATGCTGTCTAAGCTGACATCCATTATGGACAACACCCCCCACCCCCTGCATGAGACCGTACGAGCTCTGAGCAGCTTCTACACCCACAGTGTAGGAAGCAGTGCTACCGCAGGTCATTCTGACGGGTGGCTGTCAGACTTTATAACACAGTTTATCATGGTTATTTTACTCATCACCTGTCTAACTGACATATCATCTGTCTTTAATTGCTCTTACCGATTTGCAGCTTGCTTGCACACTGTATATTTCACCAGGATCATTCACACCCCACCCCCCACACTTGTGTACATATCTCTGTACATTTTTTTTGGGGGGACATGAAAACTTTGGTTGTGTGTATAAACAACTGACCTACCTGTTCTTGTTCTATATTCCTTTTGTATAAGAGCTCTGTAACACTTCAGTTTCTCATTCGTGGGATAATAAAGGTTTATTCTATCCTTCCATACTGCTTTATGCGTCTCTGTTGCGTAGAAGATGGAGCCAATCCCAGCATCTTCAGGTGAGAGGCAGGGTCCACCCTGGGCAGGTTGCCAGTCCACCACAGGCCCAACACAGACCCGCATTCATACCTATGGGCAATTTAGAGTAGACAGTTGACCTAATCTGCATGTCTTTGGACTGTGGGAGGAAACCGGAGCACCCATGCAAACTCCACATTCTATTCTATTCTATTCTATTCTATTCTATTCTATTCTAATGTATCCGTGATGTCTGTGGGCTCTGATTACATACATAATCCACAGACGTGTATGTCACAACACTGTCATGTATGTCACAGCGACAGCGCCTACAAAGGGCTCTTAAAGCACAATATAAAAAAAGTGTTTTCTCTCACCAATACCCGGCAATTACGTGTACGTGTGATAGGACGTACGACGACTGCATTTATTTTTCGTCACGTGGCATTAGATCACTCTTCAGCCAATGGGTACAGGGGTGCCCTGTAAAGGGATTGGCTGGCCTGCGCCGTGCTGCCCGGTTCCACGTGAAGGACCGCCCAGCCACGCTGGCGGTATAAAAGCATGCTGCCAGCGGCGCTGCACTCAGCCCTAGTTTTAGAGGGAAAATGCATCGTTTTCGTTCGCAGACTTTTACCGGGATCGCTTTCAATTCTTATCCGATAACAGCGTTGCTTGAATTTTTTTATTTGAAGAGACATTACAGTAAAAACTGGTCATTTATTGGTTGATTTTGTCTGGAATTATACATTTTTTATAAGAAGATGCCGAGGTCCAAGAAGAGAAGTAGTCGAGGTGAGGAAATGGACGGTGCTTTCTGGTTGTCTGGCTGAGATGAGTAATTATAGCGAAAGGAGTACTGGGATTTGTAGTTTATTGGTCATTAAATTTAGCTATGTCAATGGATGATTACTAACTTTCAGACTACTAAACCCAGCATCCAATGCAGCCTTGTCTGTTTAGTATATTAGTTTCAACAAATATTTTATGTATGTTTTATTTTGCCATATGCTGCTTTTTGATGTTAAATAATGAATGGATTTGTTTAACAGCTGGTAAAGATTAAGGGCATATTCTATATCCACGTAATACGACAGTATGCGGTCAAAATGAAGAAAACCACTGGGATAGGCTTTGAAGCAAATAAAACACGAATAGATAAAATACTGGATTAAGCCCATGTGATCGATCAGGTTTTGATGTGTTGGTTTACATACGCCAGCTGTGTAAGAACCACAAGATAATGGCGAGAAACGAGCTTTGTCACTTGGAAGAAAAACATATAAATTGATCTGGTTACATGCAGGTGTTTCACAGATCTTAGCATTTTTTTTTATCTTTCGACATGCTACCTGTTAAGGAGTATTGTATAATCGTTAGGTTTCATTTGTGATTTAGCGTCTGCGTTCAGGAAGAATTTTATTCTTTGACTCGTAAGCAGATAGCTGCGAGTGTTTATCAGACGAACGCAACTCGTCATTTCGTGGCTTCAAGAGTATTTCAGCTTTGAGTGCGTATGTTTCCTGCTGTGAACGCACTGAGTGTAGGTCAGGCAAACAATCAGAGCAATTTTGATGGGGAAAACGCCCACTCTGTACTTCATAAAAAAATCTTAACGTCGTGTACATTTTGTTTAGTATTGTAAAGATTGCAGTGCTTTCGCCGTGGATAGCAGTTTTCTAGATTCATTGAGGTGTGTGTATATGTCTGAAGTGAGTCATGGGCAATGCATAAGAAACTGAGCAGTAGCCAAATCCTGCCTCAGCTGCTCAGAACCGGCCTGCCACGTGAGCGGTTCGCGGGCCCCGTGAAGGTGGCTGCACACGGCGCGGGCAGCACGCCCCCCCTCCCTCGAACGTCCTGCGTTTAAAGTGCATACTGGAAATGTCACCAAAGCCACATGCTATCAGTGAACCGGTCATTAGCTCTTCCATGAAACTGGATGACTTCGTTTTTTGTTCTGTATAGGTACAGCGGAACTTGCCCTCCAATGCTTTCTTTTTTCCAGTATTATGTTTGGTGTCGATAGTATTACCTATTTAATGTGATATGTTTTTTCCGGCAAATGCTAGATTTGTAACTGTTTTTTAGAATCGATGAATTCCATCCGAAGGATAAAACGTTGCCATGAAAACATTTCGCATCTGGGCCTTTATCTTGTCACGTGACACACACGTCATACAGGAAGTGACACGTTTTTGTTTCACTTGATGTGGAAACCATTAAGGGACCGGCTACTGCTGTCAACCCGATCAGCTGATACTTTCCAGTCTGAATTGAATCTGTGGGTTCTGGGAGTAATCAAAGGTTATTGTCCTGTTTTCAGTCTAAACTTCCGATGGGAAAAACCTTTGTGCCTGCATGAACCATATAAGAAAAGGGATTGAATGTCTGTATTTCTTGTCCTAGACTGTCTGGTTTGGCACTAGTCTCACAGGAACGCTGTATACCAGCCTTTTAACCGAATACATTCTGCGCATGGTAACTGTAGCTTGTGCTGAAGTGGGACTTGTTTGGGCTTCAGGGGGTGCCCACGGAGCCGCCCAGCCATTCAGCGATGAGGATGCCTCCATCGAGACACTCAGCCACTGCAGCAGCCTTAGTGACACCACCAGCCTGGTAGATGAAGGTAATGGAGCAGTCACCGCTGCGGTGTTGGTGGCTGCCAGGGCCAGCCATGTGCCGTCGACTTGGTGGATGGGGGGTGATGATGCAAGTCATGTCAAAAGGTTGTTTGTGCCTGTGGGTATGGCCCCCTCTCAAGGGGCCAAATTGGAACTTGGTTTTGTGAAGCTGTCCTGCCTATGTAAGGCCCCTAATGTAGAGCCTCAAGGAAACTGGAATGAGACGGGACCTGCTTCCTGCTCGTTCAACAGCCTGATGCTCGTCACCATTAACTGTAGAATTCTGGGAAATATCCAGGAATTCTCTGATTTTCCAACCTAGAACCCCCGCCCCCCCCCAGAACCCCACCGGCCAAAACATCATGTGGTATGTGACTGTATATCGATAATCTGCTTGCTGATAAACAAATGGCAAACACTTTTTGCTTGTCTCCTTTTTTTTTCGTAAAAGTGAATAAAGTGTAATTTGAGCTGCTCCATGCTCATGTTGCACTTAACAATCCCGGCCCGATCAGGCTTTCATCATGATCATCTGACTTTTGTTGAAGAAAACATGGAAACAAGCAGTGTTATCACAGCACAATTCATGATTAATTTCCTTATTTTGTGACTTATTTGGAGTCTTTTTGGACACGATGAGACACAGACAAGAAGAGAGCCCCATGTTTTACCAGCTAATTTTTTGTGCAGACTAGTTTTGCATGGGATACTGGTACTGCAACGTGGTACCACGTTTTTGAAAGCTGTTCGGTATTGGATTTTTTTAGTTCCGGTACTCATTATGTTATATACATTGTTAATGCTGTATATCATTAACGCTAACAGTTGGTTCAGAACCATGGGCTCCAAGTTTGAACTACTGCTGAAACTAAATTATACATTTCCAGAATTGCAAACTAAGCTATGTAGAATACTAACACTATACTAATAGTGGTCTCCCTAGATTCAAGTCAGTGGTTTATGTAAGGAGTCTTATAATATAGCAAACAGGCTACATTATCCTCATCAAACTAGCATCTGTACCTCCAGGTTGTTATGCTATGCTGCATGTTAAGCAGTTGGATAACCAACTATAATGTGCTCTGTGGGAAGTTTGAATGGATGTATGGAAGAAAGCAGAAGAAACTGCTGTAACCTTTATGAACGCTTATCTGTTTGTAAAAAATCTGTACAGCCTACCTGATGCGTTCCTTCCTCCTGGTTCATGTATAGTGCACATGTGCACATGCGTGTGTCAGTCTCCTCATTGACGTCATGTCTGTGTTCCACACTCTGTTAGCGATCACACTACATCCGTACCGTGCCTGAGTCAGACTAATTGTGTTCTGGCCCACCTGTCCAAGCGGACCAGGACACGGTTAAGCGTACCACAGCCTGGGCACGATACGGAGCGAGCACACTAGTCAAAAGAGCTGGACTTTGGGGGTCAGACGTGCTCAGGCACAAATTGCCGATTTGTTAGTGTGAGTACACCTTAAGGGGGCGGGCTCCTCGTTTAGACTGCAGGAACCCCGGTGTTAAAGATGACGACCAGGCAAGCAGATCTCAGACTGGTGGTTTATTTTGTGCAGGAGGGGAGACGGCAGATGATTCGGCGGCACAGGAGGACTTCCAGTACAAGTTAAAGGGGTATATCGACAGCACTGTGGACAAAAGGCATGTTTGGGTCAATATGGTATATTGGATTACCTTTGGCACTGATTTAAATTTGGGGGGAGAAAGAGACTTTCACTCTTGACCGAATCATTGATTCCGGTCAAAGTTCAGTGTGGTGATGTTGGAATGTTCTGCTTTCATCAGTTTGTACATAAGTGTGTATTTAGGCAGGTTAGCCCCAGGACTGATGGAGTGTCACGTTTTCTCGTCTCTGCAGTGCTAAAACCAGGCAGGCTGCCCTTGGTGCACTGAGGACCGCTTTGGCAACTAAAATTTTGTATGAGTTTATTCTCGAAAGACGGATGACCATCACTGACAGCATAGAGCGCTGCTTAAAGAAAGGTACTTCTGCATTAGGAGAACTCTAACCCTCTCTGCTTCACCTCTATGTTCAGCACTGACTCTGGCTGCGCTTTTTCCCCAACGAGGCAAAGGAGAGGAGCAGAAGGCTGCCGCTTCCCTGGCCTGTCTCTTGTGTATCCAGCTGGGCTCCGGCCTGGAGAGTGAGGAGATGTTCAAGACTCTGAAGCCGGTCTTCAAGAGCATCCTCAGCGATGGAACTGCCAGCCTTCAAGCCAGACAAGCAGTGAGCTTCCTCTCCTAGACTGCCAATGTCCTTTTGCTTTAAAGCGTGCAAGTTGATGAACTTTAGTAATACATGGTCATGTTTTTGGCAAGTGCATTCAAACTAGGCTCTGTACTGTACTGCCTGAAGTCACTGGGCTTTTCCTTCTCAGTGTGCAACGAGCTTGGGCATCTGCAGTTTGATTGCAGAAAATGATATTTTGGTAAGTACAGCATGACTGGGCAGTAAATCTATACAACTGAAAATGCCAAAAGAACCTACCTGTGCTGCTTTAAACAAGTCGGGACGTCCTTAACTTGGGGTGTGTCCGTGTGCCAGGATGTGTATGCCACCATGGGATGCTTCGAGAACCTCTTCACAAAGTCCTATGCCAGGCAAGATGGGAGCCGTACTGCTGTCAGCCCCCAGACCTCTGTCCTTCACACCCACGCCCTGCTGGCTTGGGCTCTTCTCCTGACCATCTGTTACGGCACAGAAGTCAAACGTCTTTTCAACAAGTATGGCCCTTTATGAACTTCAGCCCCCCCTCTTCTTTTGTTTTTGATATGAATCGTATTGCTTGGGGGATGTGATGCTGTACTGAACTTGATGTATTACTCCCCCATATGATTGATAGTATTTTGGGTCAAACAATCCATCTCGTTTCCTAGTCATCAGAGGATCTCATACCGTGTCCAGAAGTTTCATGGACCTCAGAGAATTGCCTCTTGTCAGAATTTCTCTCTCCCTGGACAAATGAGGTTCTGTTAAAACCTGTTGCAATTGCGGTTAGCTTCACTCTGCATGTGTTTTGACACCAGGAGTACTGCCTAAATGCATATTCCACACTAAGGACAGGGAAATGTCCGGTCAGCAGCAATGATGCTGACTATTTTTAATTTTAACTTAATCATTCAGTTAAGTTAAGTGTAGTGTTAACTAAATTAACTACAAATGAAGTTCTGTATTTTTGCTGCGATGGAACCTTCTATAGGTTAATTTTCTAGAAGTTCGCTGGTTCAGTTCTCCGGGGGGATATTATAACTGGTTTATTTTTACTGCTTCAGGTGGTTTTTATTTCTTGGGGTGGTTTGTAGATGTACATGTGCTGCTTGCATGTTGCTCTTGTAGGGCGTACTCGTGCTTGCATGTTGCTCTTGTAGGGCGTACTCGTGCCCTGCACAGACACGATTAAGTGCTCACGTTGCTCTTAATGATCCTGACCCAAGGACACTAATCACCATGCAACTTTTTTTTGTATTGAAGAAAACACAGGAAGAAAGCGATATGGAACAGCAGAATAGAATTCATGATTTAATGTGCTTATTTAGTGATTTATCTAGAGTTGTTTTGGATGTGATGACAGATTCATTTAGTGTGCAACGCAGCAATTTATTTGTGCTGCATGTGTAAGAATACCCATAATCTACCCAGGTATCTGAGTTGTTCCTGGATACTCATCAGCTCTAATTTCAAGCACTGCACCTCTGACATGGACCAAAGTGATCCTTTGCCACCATGTTTCACTACCCAATCTGTACATCTATAGTGTAAATGGGAGCATGTATCTGTCGCATCAGTGACCTCATGCCTGTTCCGTACCCAGGCATAGTTAACGATCATACTAGATGTGTAGCGAGTCCGACTAACCATGCTCTTGCCTACCTCTTCAAGCAGGCCTGGGCATGGTATGGAGCGATCACACTAGTCAAATGAACTGGACGTTGGGGGCTAGACGTACTTGGATCAGCTAGTGTCAGCATACCCTTAGTGAAGTGTTGCTTGGACAGGTGGGGGGGGCTGCAGTTAATTTCTAAGGACATCTGATATTCAGTGACGTATGCTGGCTATGCTCTACACAAAGAATGTTAATGCTATAGATCTACGTGAATCCCTAAGAATCCAGGTACCATCGATGTGCCTTTTTTTCCTTTTAAGGCACATGCCTGAGCTCCCTAGTTTGCTGGAGTGTGAAGATGTGAACATGAGGATCGCTGCTGGTGAGACGATTGCCCTGCTTTTTGAGCTGGCCAGGGGCCAGGATGCAGTGAGTCGTCGCCTGCCTCAGCAGTTCAGCCGTTGAGCGATTTTAAAAATTGACTGGAGCCTGATTAACCTCAAATTTTCCTTAGGAGTCTGAGCATGAAGACTTGGATCCTCTCTGTGCAAAGCTGAATGCTCTAGCCACAGACTGCAGCAAGCACCACGCCAAGACTGACAGGAGGAAGCAGAGATCAGTCTTCAGGGATGTGCTGAAAGCTGTGGAGGTGAGTGCAGCACCAGATGGTTGCAGGCTGACAGAACAGCCTCTTCATTGACAAGGTATCTGGACTCTAACTGCATTAGTCTGGTAAGCTGAATTGTGTTTTTTTTTTTTGTGGACAGGAGGGAGACTTCCCCACTGAGACTATCCGCTTTGGAACGGAGTGCATGTACATTGACAGCTGGGTGAGGAAGCGAATGTATGATGCCTTCCGAGAGTTTGTTGGCTCTGGGATGAACTACCATCTGCAGGTAAGTGAACCACGGCTCTCCTTCCTTTTGTAGGTGTGGTACATCAGCTGACTGAGTGTTCCTGAAACTCATTTCCCAATCCCCACAGGCAAATGAATTCATCCGTGACGTGTTTGAGCTTGGACCACCGGTGATGGTTGATTCGGCTACCCTGAAGGCCATGAAGATCTCCCGCTTTGAAAGGGTGAGCGTTTGTCAAAGCACCATTCTCATGGTCAGATGCATGATTGCTGGACCACAGCACTCTTGTCTAGCATCTGCCTTTACCTCACTTAATGAATAGGGTATACTGTTGATCTTTAGGCTTGATTTTAGATGAAATGGAACAGTACAAAAGACACTAATGAGCTCCATTTTTCCCACCAGCACCTCTACAATGCAGCGGTCTTTAAAGCTCGCACCAAGGCCAGGAACAAGTTCCGAGACAAAAGGGTAGATGTCGGGGAATTCTAGAGGTTTTAGCTTAAGCTTTTCTTAAATTTACTACTTAAGCTATTTCTTTTAACCCATTTCTGTCGTAGCTTTGAATATTAACGTTAGCTGTCAACTCACCCTGTGCCTTTTTGACAGCTTGCTTCTGGTGAGGGAATTAAGCTGTACCTTTCACCTGATGGAACCTCAATGTTGCATGCTTTTGGTTTGAGACCTAAATAAACAACTTCATACATGCTCGCTGACTCTTAATTGTCTCCAAATAAATGGGATTGTATGTACAGCCCAACTCTTACTCATGTTATGGACGTCGTGGTCAGTTTAAGAATGGTGCAACTTCTGATTCATATCTAACTAGTGATTTCCTGTTTCCAGCTTTTGCTTGATTCCTAAATGAGTAGCAATCAATATGTGAATGAGTCCCTCAGCAGTATCCTGTCCAGGGTGTCCCTTTTGGTCCACCTGTGCTTCTAGGAAAAAGGTCCAGGGTCACTGCTGGTTGGAGCTTGCCACATGGGTTTCTGTGGTACCTCATATATGACAGTCTTGGATGTCTACAGAACCGATCCCCAGATGATGGAAGGGTGCGATCTCCTGGTCCAGATGTGAAGGAAACCTATGGTGCTTAGTAAAGGCCATTTAATATATATATTTTTTTTAAATACACATGTCCACTATAGTTGCTTTTGGAGAGGAATTTTATAATGGGGGTCTGATCTTACGTGGCATTTTGTCACTGTATGGTAAAATGGCCTGGGGGGGTGGGGGTCGTCGTATCTGCAGATCAGTGCATGTGATGGGTCATACATTTAAAATATTTTTTTTGGCAATTGACCAACGCCTGTGCAAAATCCCCAGTGTTCTG